CCCCCCTGGGCTATGTGAAGAAATCATATCATCCTTCAGAGGTTCTGAGCTTTCGGGTGGATGGCACACAGTGTGTCTCAGTGAATTCCTCCCATTCCAGATGAAAATGGCACTTCAGATTGGCCCAGCCACCCAGAGAGAAACTGTATCTTGCACAGGGTGAGGAGGTAAGTAACAACGCAAGGTTAACATTCTTTCTTTCCCTCTGCCATGGCAACCAGCACACTGCAGACAGAGACTGTTCCATCCACCTGCTGATGGCAGGCACCTCATGATGGATGTGCAGTATGCCAGAAACAAAGATCTGCAGCCCAGCCAGCCCCTTCTAACTGATGGAGGAGGATGCTGTCACTCCAAGCTCGTGAGCAAGCATCGGGACAGCTCCTGGCTGAAAGCTTCCTCTCCCCTCTGTCCTGTGTCTAGTGACCTGCTTCCTGGGTCATATGCCCCTTTCTTGTCCTTTTCATTTTGGTGACTCATGACCTCAGGTGTTGCGGTAGCTCCTACCATGAGAAAAGAAGGAAAATTTTTTGAAACCGTCTGCATCTAAAAATGCAGTCAGGCTGTGGTCACGAAGTTTCTATCGGTTACAGACAACATCCACTACTACCATGATCCCTAAAAGAACCCCTAAGAGAGTCCTATCACTTCCAATGTGCCAACTATGGCAATAATCACATAGCAATGAACTCCTTACCTGGGGTGTTGGTACAAGCCTACTCTGCTGTCAGTCATCTAAAAGCATGGCCCAGACACGCCCGATACCTGTTACTTTTATCATTCAGTGTATCTTCCTACTTAAAGATCGCTGTAAAATAGTGTGTTCCTTTTGTCGCTATAACATACTATCTGGGGTGAATTTTGTTTGCTTGTTTGTTTTCGAGACAGGGTGTAGCCCTGGCTGTCCTGGAATTTGTTCTGTAGACCAGGCTGGCCTTGAACTCACAGAGGTCTGCCTGCCTCTGTCTCCTGAGTGCTGGGATCAAAGGCATGCACCACTACTGCCCAGCCCAGGAAATAGTTATTTTGGCTCACAGTTTTAGAGATTTCAGTCCCAGAACCATGGCAGCAGCCAAGCAGGGATAATGATAGGAGAAGGTCTAGGGTCTCTATATCCCCAAGGACATGTTTCATTAGGCCCTATCTCTGGCTTCACCATATCCCAATAGTACTACAGACTGAACCCTATCTCTGGCTTCACCATATCCCAATAGTACTACAGACTGAATCAAGTCTTTAATATAGCTTTTGGGGTACAGTTATCCAAATTATGGTAAAAAAAAAACCCTACTAATTCATTTTTTCTCTGTTCATTATAAAAACATACCGCACAGCTTGGGATTTACTAACACACAACGTTCAGGCTTGCATGGACACACTCTGCAATGCTCACAGCAACATAACTGCCTAAGGAGACACTCCCCAGAATGCATCCCTGCTGGTGAATGCCTATGCTTGGTTCACCGTGTGGCTGGGTGAAGGCTATGGTAGTTTTCCTTTAGCATTCCAAATCTATTTCTTTGATGCTAGCAGGTACCTCAGCTGTGAGAAGCCCATTGTTCTGACTTGAGTTTGTATATGAGCTATAGCCAACATCAGAACACCTTCCCTGATATTCAGAAATTCAAGGGTGATAAGACACAGTGTGGGATCTTCTCTCATGCCCTCGCTCTCCATGGCCTTCCCAACATATGGTCTCCAATTGTCAAGACTTTCTTTGGACTAATTCATCAATGATTTTTTCTAACTACCATGTCAGTGTTCCTATAAACTGATCAAAGCATTTTCTGGTTGATTCTCTAATTAACATTTTTTCCCTTCTCTTCTTTCCATTTTATGCTGTTGTGAATTCTTTCTGGTTAATGCTCTCTCCCAGTCTTTCCCCTGAAGACTTGGTCATTTATATGCTGGCTACTTTCTTTTAAAGCTCCAAGAACTCTTTCTTTCACTCCCTGCTCTTTCTTCACCCATATCTCCCTTTTGCAGATTGTGGTATCCTTTTACATTCCCCTGTTGATAGCATTGGCAGTTTTGTTGATGTTTACCTCTCTCTACATGGCTTGTTTCCTACAGCTTACTTCAAAAACAAACAACAAAGCAAACCTATTGAGGCTTTGCATTTCCTGATGCAGGCTTTCTTGACATGTCGGCTCAGCTGCTCACTCCTGTTTGCCTGGGAAAGATTGAAATGTATCAGAAGTTCAGTGCCAAGAGGCACCTTCCAGTGTGGCCTCCTCTGTAGTATGCTAATTGGACACTTGAGCAGCTATGAATGTGAAAACGTGCTAATGATTCCCTTTGGCCTGGCTTGCTCAGCCCAAAAGCCTCTCCTAGGCTCCTGGCTCCCGCGCCCTGAAATCTCTGAAAGGGGCTTATAGATGTCAGTAGACGCATGCGCACTTGACCCTGATCCCAGCGTTGCTCCATTGCCGCTGCCACTCCGTTAGAGGAGTCTTTATCTCCTTCAGATGGATGCAGTCCCCGCTCAGGGAGAGGAAGGGGCAGCTGTAGCTTCTCCGGGAACAGACTCTTGTGCAATTATTCTTATTTCAAGTCCCTTTGTCGTCCATTTCCAGAGGTGCCCAGTGCCACCAGTTGTGAACCTTGTGGGGAAACTTTCCTTCCTGTTTCAGGCTTCCATTTTCTTGGGTCTGTGGGGGACTTTTTAGCATTACTGGCTGCCGCCGCTTCCTCTCCTGTGCATTTTTGTCTTATAGTTGAGATTTTTGTCTTACAGTTGAGGTTGTTTCAGAGACTCCAAATGGCAGTTAAAGTCGATTCAACTACCACCTCCACCCCCAAACCTCACCCATCTTTAGTCTCTTCATGGCTCACTTGCTCTCACTGGGTCCACCTGATCTGCCCTCCCCTCCCCATTTCCAGCTAAAAGGAACTATCCCTACTCTCACCTACCTATGCCATTGTTGTCAAAATCCTCCTGGCAAGGAAACATGGAACCATACAATGAGTGTTCACCGGAGAGCAGAACTGTACCCCTAGGATATTTCCATCTGGGCTTGGGACAAGAAAGACCAGGCTTGAGGCCCCAGTCATTAAGTTCTTGGTGAGTGAACTGTTCAGAAATCATTTGAGGTGCTGACTGTTGTACCTAAAATGCCCGTGGGCTCAGGGGAAACCCTTTGAAAGGCCACCATCTAAAGGAGGTTTGGATAGGGCACATCAGGGTAAGGGGCCATTGACTCAGGCTACCATAGAGGCCTGTGACGGAGGAGTGCAATGCCTACAATAGTGCATGTCCTAGGAAGGTTCCCCAGTGCAGGCAGAGCCCACGAGGACAGCACAAGTGACTGCTGAATCCCCCCAGCTACAGAGGGTCAGGAAGGAACACATGGCCAGAAAGGCAGTGTAGGGGCCAGCTCTTTCCCAATGAAATGACTGTCTGTGGCATGTGGTGGGAACAGAGGAACATTCTGAGTCATCACTTGGTCAGGACACAGTCTCTTAAATGTCATCAACACAATCTGCCCGGAACAAAGATGACCACTTTCTGCCAAGTCGAGACCCTCCTACGGAGCCTTGATCCAGCTTCTCCACCAGACAGCGGCCCGACGGTGAGGAAATTGAGGGTGTGTGTTAGCACTCAGGGGTGCTCAGACGTTAATATAAATTTCACAACTGAAAATTCCAAATTGCTCACTTTCCCATGATTAACAGAAGTCAAAGTCTTTTCTGTTCTAGGCTCCCAATTAATTTGGCGGAGAAATTAAAGTCGGAACCATGGTTCTGAATTTTGCCAGTGAGATGATTGCCTCTGCTTTAGTCCACTAGGGTGGACGTCTGGCTGCCTCCCCGACTTGCTGGTAGCGGCTGACTTGTTTCAAGACGTCACCCACAATGAAAAGCTGAGGCTGCTGACCCTGTTCTCACAGGTCAGAGGCCAGCTGTGACCAGAGTCCTGAAAAGTGCGTTAAGATTGGTTCAAAGGCAGTAGGAAGCTATGGTTTCTCTGATGATGGCCTAGTGTGTTTGGAGAGAAAGACTATGAACGTGTGTGTCTAGACTCTAGAGCAAGGTGGCCTGGTTGGAAGGCCCCGGCGGGGCGCAGCCGAGCATTTCCTTTAGAGGCCCAGACAGTGGATGGGTGGGGCGCCCTGGGCGGGGTCCTCGCAGCTAGTGGTGTTTGAAGCCTCCACGACCGCGGTGGGAGAGGGGCGGCCTGGAGAAGTTGGCAGCAGGCCTGGGGCAGGAAGGGGGAGGAAGGGGCCCCATGTTCCCTGAACAGCCGCGACCGCAGCCCCAGCACGTAGCTCACTCTCTCAGCACTGGCAATGGTGGGCCCTGCACCAGCCAGGTTAACATAGGCTCAAGGGCAGCGCGGCCGCGCGGGGGCGGGGCGGCCCGGGTGGTGACTTGGCTCTCGCCAGGACTGCACCGAGGACCGGAGCTCAATGGGGGCAGAGTGTGGAGGTGGCCGGAGGCTGCAATACAAGCCCGGCCACCCGAGAACTCCGCTGCGGTGGGGTGAGGAGAGGCAGTGTCCCGCCCATAGGCGAGGCCGGCCGCCTAGGTCCCGCTGAGACGGATACGCCACCTCGCCCGCGCTCCCAGCGGGCGGAGCGACCACAGGGTGCCCTCCCCAGCGTTGCCATCCTCGCGCCACCCACGGCTGCCTGCGCACAAAAGGCTCCGGCACGGAAAGGCCCGGCGGGGTTCCCGCTGCGGGAGGCACGCGCCTTAGCCCTGCGCCGCTACACCGCGGCCCGCCACCCTCCAACGTCGTGCGTCACCGTGCCCCGCGCTGGGCTCCGATTTCCGCCCCGCCTCCTGCCGGTCCAGGGACACGCCCACTGGCGCGCGCAGGTCCCGCGGCCAGTAGAGCCCTCTGGAGGCCCGGATTGGCGAGATGGAGTACTGCAGAGCCAATGGTGTTCGCGAATGCCACTAGCCACGCCCCTCCCGGGGCGCGGGCGCGCGACCGCACCGTCCCTCTGGTGCGCGCTCCAGGCTCCCCGCCCCCTTCGTGCGCGCTGCTCCCTGCGGCCGCTGCCGCCTGTAACCTGCGCCGCCAGGATGTGGCTGGGGGCTGACGTCGGGTCCAGATGTGGCCCCGGCCCCGCCCACCCCCGGGGCCGGTCCGCCCACACCGAGCCGCGGCGCGCACGGAGGCTGTCCCGCCTGCCACAATGCACGGTGGAACTGCGACCGCAACTTGCAGGGGTCGTGCCTAACATCGCCGCTCGACATCCGTAAGACAAGCCGGCCTTGACGCCGCACGCGGACCCTCCTCGTTGGAGCCCCCCATGCGCTCACCCTCCAGTACCCGGCCAGGCGGACGCGGAGCCGCGCGGGTGACGGCAGAAGCGGCTGCGCGCCCAGCCTAGCCCAGCCCAGCCGGAGAAGAGGGCGCGCCGCGCCCCCGCCCCCCGCCGCTCTCCGGAGGCCGTGGGTGCGGATGCGCCGCTGACGACTCCTGCGAGAGCACCGCGCGCCCGAGCCCGCAGCATGGCAGCCGCCGCCTATGTGGATCACTTTGCCGCCGAGTGCCTCGTGTCTATGTCCAGCCGCGCAGTCGTGCACGAGCCGCGGGAAGGGACTGAGCCCCGGCCCGAGGGCGCGGCCGCCGCCGCCCCCACACTGCCCCGTGTTGACGAACGCCGCGACGGCAAGGACAGCGCCTCGCTTTTCGTGGTGGCGCGGATCCTAGCGGACCTCAACCAGCAGGCGCCCGCGCCCGCCCCCGCGGAACGCAGAGAAGGGGCCGCTGCGCGCAAGGCGAGGACCCCCTGCCGCCTGCCGCCCGCGCCCCCTGCACCGCCGCCCGCCCCAGAACCCGCCTCCCCGGGACAAGCAGGCGCGCCGGCCGCGCCCCCCAGCCCCGCGTGGAGCGAGCCCGAGGCGGCACTGGAGCCGGAGCCGGGCCCCGCGGGGAGCGGCGAGCCCGGCCTCAGACAAAGGGGTCGGCGGGGCCGGAGTCGCGCCGACCTCGAGTCCCCGCAGAGGAAGCACAAGTGCCACTACGCGGGCTGCGAGAAAGTTTACGGGAAATCTTCGCACCTCAAGGCGCACCTGAGAACTCACACAGGTCAGTGGGGCGGCCCGAACGCCGCGAACGAGCGGACTAGGGACTGCTCGGGGGGCCGGCCACGCCCCCAGAGCTCCGGGCCCAGCGCTAGAGGGGCTGGGTGGGGGGGGCGGGGAGCCGGGAGCTGTGGGCGATCGCGGCCGCGCCCCTGCCCTGGCGCTCCGGCCTCGCGTGACGCTGGCCGGGGCGCTTGGAGCCGGCGCCCTCTCGGCGACCGCGCCCCCATCGGGCACGCCCCCTCCCTGGTTCTTGGGGCGGGGCCGCGGGGTAGATGTCGTCATCCGGGCTGCGGGCGGCGCGGGCAGGTGCGCTCGAGGTGGTTGGAAGGGGGGGGGACGGTCGGCGCACCCCGATTGGGGCGTGGGTGCTCCCGGGGCTGGAGCCTCGCCATCCTCCTCCCCAGGCCTCCGGGCGCGCTCTGGCTAGGGAGGGGCCGGCCCGGGCGGGCGAAGTTCACCCGGGGACAGAGATCCCTTCAGCCACTCGGCACATTCTTCGCACTCTTCTTCCTGTAATTTTTCCAGCGCTCTAAGGTTTAATTTGTCGCAACCCGACCCAGCGGCGGCGCTGGCCGACGCGGGGGGCGGTCCCAGTCCTGGCTCCCCACCCGCGGCTCTTTGTAGGAGCCCCAGCCCATCCGGCCGGCGGGGGCGCGCCCGGCCGCAGGGGGCTGCTCCGCTTTCTCTAGGAAGGCGCGCTCTGTTCTCTGCCCTTTCTGGCCCAACTTTCACCTGCTCCTGGGCTGGGTGCGGGCAGGTGGCACCTGTACCAAGACGGCCCGCCTGAGCCTGCAACCTGGGGTGGCGTAGGGTCACTCGCTTCTGTGGTTTCCGGGCACCGCTTCGCAGCGCTCGGGCCCCAAACTCGGTAGTTGATTCGTATATGGAAGCCCTCCCCCCCCCCCTTGCTTTTTGGTTTTAACACAGCGGTGCAAACATTTCGTTGTATTTCCTTTGAGCTCACGGAAACTCTTCTGTAATCCTGAACTCTTTTTACAGCTTTGAGGCAAGTTCACTACAAAACACTTAGTTGCGTTGTTTTGTTACCAGGGGCTGTACTTTTTTGTTGTTGTTGTTGCTAAAACAGTTAAGTGGCTGACCAAAAAGCACAGGAAGACACTGAGGCCGTGGAGGCGAGAGCTCAAGGCCTTTCTTGCCCGTTGGTAATGGGGCGTGCCCGAGCTCTGCCGATTTCTGGGCTAGGGGTTCTCAGGCGAACTTTTTCCGCAGAGGCGGGGTTGGGGGGGTGGTGGTCCTAGACCTTTGCTGTGGCCGCCCAAACCGCGTGGCAGGTGATGGGGTTGAGTGAAGGCCGGGCCATCTCCAGGCATTTAGAGTCAAAATTAATGGTGTGTGAGCCCGGGAGGTGGGTGGGGTTTCTGTAGGGCTCCCAGTTCTGCTAGGAAAAGCGGCCGCCGGGGTGGGTGTGGCCGTGGGGGAGGAGCAGAGCTGGGTTCAGAGAACCTGATGGACCAAGAGTGCTGGGTGGGGTTTGGGGTGTTCGGCGACCAACTATCGGATTGAGAAATCTTGGTGCAGAATATTTCACCGTGGCTTCTCACTTGCAGTACCGGGTAGCCGATCTGGTGAAATGCAGAGGACTTGCCTGAAGGGAGGGGCTGGTCGTCGTGGGCGGGTTGGGTCCAAGATGTTTTCCTTGTTGCCTCGCTCTTCCTTTCAGTCTCAATTGGCGTTTAGAAAACGTTTGGGGGCGCTGAGGACCGCGTCTTCCGTAGTGGGGAGGGAGACGTTCTCTCCGGAGCGCCAGGAAACTCAAGAGCAGGTAGAAGAGGATAGAGCGGCCTTCTTTTGAGTGCCAATAGTGTGCTGTACGACCACGGGTAGGCAACCGGGGCCGCCCTCCTTGTATGCTGAGATAAGAGGGAGGCGCCACCTTCGGGTGGCTGTAGAGTTCCAGGCCCTCTGGAGAGCTGGGGGAGGGAGGGAGAGTCTGCAGATGTCTAGGCTGCATTTTATTTGGTACCCAGGTGAGTCTGATGACGATGGTTGCCCATCTCAGATGCCTGCCTCTGGGTGGAGTCTGGTTCAGCCTCTGATTCGGAAAAGCCCTGGGAAGCCATTGCCAGATCTTGCAGCGCTTAAATAACTCACGTTCATAAGGGAAATAGTGAATGTGTTGGGCACAGGAGGGAGATTCCAGCAAGGTGGTCCCAGGGGCTTCCGCATAGGCTCTGGCTCTGGGGTGGATGTGGTTTGGTTTGTGAGTCACAGCGGGCAGTGGCTGACTGAGGCCGTGCCATGTCTGCCCCATCCCAATACCGGCCTTGAGAACAATAGTTTTTGGCAGGAGTGATAACAGCCACCTTAGCCAACAGGTAACCGGCAGCTCTGTGATGTGTAGCTGTTCCCCAGCCTCGCTGTGGTTTTGTGACATGTGCCATGACCACCTGGAAAGCTGGGGTGAGGACTTGATGTTTAGTGCCTTTGGGAAGGGCAAGGGTCCCTAGCCGGGGCTGTCCTCTGATATGGACGCCTGAACAGCTGTTTGCAAAGAGCTGCCCCTCCTGGTTAGCTACAAGGTAACGGCCCCTCCCTCCCTAGTAGTTCGGTGGACCCTTGCCTCTCACATGTCAGTAGTTGGTGTTACAGAAAATGCACAAAAGAAACAAATAAACAAGTCCAAGCCACTTGTTTGTTTAATTGGGACCTCTCAGCTTATACTTGGGGAATTTGCTAACCTTACTTTTGGAGGAGTAGCAAGGCCAGGAGCAGGTGGTTTTGGAGGCTAGGGGATTTGAGGTGGAAATGGAGGACTTCCAGAAGGCCTACTCCATTGAGCAGCAAGCTCTCCTGCATTTGGAGAGTCTGGCGTGGCTGGTGGGCCTGCGGTGGAATGGTGGGTCACTCAGTCTTCTGACATACCCTGAATAGATTCCTACTACCTCTTTGTTCCCATAAAGAATTGTTTTCAAAACTATTCCATGTTGTTATCCTTATAGCACCTAGAACCAAAATATCTCCTTGTATGTTGCCTGGGCTGGGCTACATAGTGGCCCCCAAGGCACCCTGAGGAAGGTAAGCACAGTGTTGGGTATAGTCCCTCCCTGGAGGCGGGGGTAGTAAGGTTTGTGGTCAACGGCCCTTGATTGGAGCAGGGGATGGGAAGTAGAATAAGATCCCCCTCACTGTCTCCTGAATTAATTTAGAGTCGAGGTTAGCCTGAAAATTTATCCTTCCCCACTGAAGTGGGGATTTGATTCTGCATGGGATTCTTGGACACAGTGTATTTCGGCCTCCTCAGAGTGCGCTCTGACCTCAGAGCCTCCTTTCCAAGATGGCGCTGGGCCCCTCTTCTCACTGGTACGCCCTAACATAACTGCCCAGAAATCAGTCTGTCTGAGCAGGGGATGGCTTGGGCAGGACTTCTTCTTCTTCTTCTTTTTGGTTTTTCCAGGCAGGGTTTCTCTGTGTAGTTTGGGTACCTGTCCTGGATCACCCTCTGTAGACCAGGATGGCCTCGAACTCACAGAGATCCGCCTGGCTCTGCTTCCTGAGTGCTAGGATTAAAGGCATGCACCACCACCGCCCGCCTTGGGCAGGACTTCTTTTACCTAGGGTAGAGCCAAGCTCCTTGATGGGCAGCCCTTTGTCCAGGAACATGCCTATACCAGTGGCTCCTAGCCCAGACTGCCAGTGGTCTCTCTCTTCTGAACCCTTACAAGCAGCGCACAGAACTGTCTCCCAGCTACCTATTGCTACCTGCACTGTGCATGTCTTTTCAGGCATCTTCTGTGGATTTGCACGTGTGCATACCACATTGACATTTAAGAAGTGCATGAGTAGGATCCTCTGCAGGGTTCATTCCCTGTGTTTACTTAAGGAGACAATAGTGTTCTTTATGGTGTGAGTATTTGATGGTATGGTCAGTTATATGGCCAGGCCATGACTTCTGTGACCTCTTGTCACCCATTGAAAGCACAGGATTTGGTTCTGCTGTCTACCTGGTAGGTGACAGTCTTGATGCCGAGGAGTCGGTGATTCTGTGGAGACCTGGTGACATTACTCATGAGCTGATTATAGCACATGTGGAGCCCGTTGGCCTGAAGGACAAGGAACCAGCTGCACCTCTTGGTCTCCCCTGGGCGGAGGGAGAGACTTGCTGTATCACCACCGCCTTTCAAAAGAGTTTTTATTTCTCCTTTTCTCATGGAGAGCTTTAGAGTCCAGACCCACATTGGACTCTGCAGACCAGGCTAACTCCCACTTGCCCTGTGCCTCCTCTCCTGGCTTCCTTAGCTCTGGCTTTTCCAGGCCCTTGGAAGTGCTCACCCACTGTTCAGTCCCTGTGGCAGTTAAGTGTGCCTCCTTGTACCCAGGCTGCTTGCCTGACGGTGGCTGGGGTGTACTGACAGGCAAGAATAAGTCCTAGGCTAGAGCTCACTCCAGAAGAGGCCTCGGATCTGGGGTGCACAGTGCTAGAAGTCTTCCAACCCTCCAGAGAGGGGCCTTGCCTTGCAGTCATGGGAATGAGCTTGTGGCAGCCTTTCTGCCTCCAGGTCCTGCTTGTTCCTGCTGCCAGCATAACCTTCCACCCGTGGTTCCTTGCTTCTTAGATGTAGCAGGGCAAAGGGACAGGTGAATTATATCCCAAAGCCGCTAAAGGTGAGTGAGGAAACACTAAGGAGTAAGTTACTCACGTACGCACTTGTGGATGTGTGTGCATTTAAATACGCACCCGAAGAAACCGGAGGCGCACAGTGCCGGGGTGCCTATGGTTCTGCTTCCAGCAGTCCCGGGACCTGCCTTAGAGACCCTGTACAAACCAGCATTCTCACAGAGATTTTCAGATGCCGGAGCGTTAAAGTGTATCTGGTTTGTGCTTTGAGAAGGCAATTTAAATGGTTCTCGAAAAACATCGAAAGCCAGTGGTTCTCAACCTTAAAACCATAAAGTGATTTTTGTTGGCTACTTCATAATTGTAATCTTGCTACTGTTATGAATAGTAATGTAAATATCTGGTAAATAACAAATATCTGTAAG